AGTATCAAATGGAATTTTTGTTAAATAAAAATCTTTCAAATGCGACTGTAGCTTTTTTTCCCAAAAACTTTGTCTTCAAAATAGGGGTGGGTCTTATACACCAGTGCATCTTATATTCCGAAAAATACGGTATATATATATATATATATATTGTGCTACTCTTGTCAGACTGAGTAGTGGGATTTGAGCATTACTTTTATAATGTATTTACAATCCCATAGACTGAAGCATAATTTTCTTTCTTTCTGTCGGCAATATGAATTACAGACTAGGTGGCTAACCACTAAGCCATGGTTAGCCCTAAATTTAAAATGAATAAAAAAAAAAGACATTATAAAACTCAGTTAACATGTTCATAGACTTTCTCTCTTTCTTTATATATATATTAGCTGAGGAGGTGCTACCCTTGTGTCAGGTATACTTTGAATTTTATAATGAGAAATTGGATTCTTTGTAGTCCTGCTTCTGAAAAATTAATCCATAAAATGTAAACAATGCTTCAACCTGTTGTTTATTCAGCCATTTGTAACACTAAACTAACCCATTTCCATTCCAAGTTTATTTTCCAAAAAGTGAATAAATTTTAAAATATTTATTTGATGAAGAAGATACTTTAAATGAAAATAGGAGTTGGCAAGCTTATTGATTAAAATGCATTCTGAAATGTGTATTATGATGCATTGTATTACTGGCTATAAAATTTTCTGATCTAATTGCATGTCTGTACAGTACACTACAAATGTAAAACATAAACTGCTTGAAACCACTGCTTTTGATTTGATTCATTTATTGTAATTAAGCATGTACATATTAATTATTAAGACTTGTTGCACTAAATTAGGATGTAATGGTCTTACTTTGACTCTTGTTACTGTCCATAACTGTAAAGATGCTTTTAAATGATGATGTGTCACAGGTTTAAAGTTTGTTTATGCAGGGTACTATAAAGTATTGAATTAAACTGTAGTATGTTTGTTCACATCATTCTTTTACTCAACTTGCTTTACTCACTCTAAAAGTGTATTTATATATATATATATTCCTCAGTATATTACTGTGGTGGTTGAAACGTGCATAAAAGTTATTAATGTGAATCACACATTTTAAACTAATGTGTTCACACTTAAAGTTCTTGGTTAATAAGACTCTTGTATCTAGCCTATAATATTCTGTTTTAAAGTACAAAATTATTGACATGTTAAGTTTCAAGAATCAGTAATCCATATAACAATTTCTTTATTCTAAATGATAGTAAATTAAATAGGAGAATATTTTAACTTTTGTAATATCAATATAAAGAGAATATAAACAGACTGATGACTATGGAACTGTGAACCACTTCATCAATTTAGTATTTAATTGTTATACTAGTATATATTGAAATAACATGCTTGTTATACTAGTTAATGTTATATATTTTAATAAATGTGTGTCCAATTTTTCCACAAAACATCATTATCAAAATTTTTTGAAATAAAAAACATTTCTGTAAATTTTGAAGACACTACATGGCATGACTAAACTGTTTCTCCCTGAGACTGGTATCTCTTAATAATGAATTTCTTGGTGTCATTATTGTCTTTCATTCTGTTTCAACTGTACGCATGTGTTAATAAAATAGAATAATCTTCTTAGGTCTTTCTTGAGGTTCAGCAAAGGGAATAAAATTTAATTGCATTCCATTTCTCTTTTGTCAATTAAACAATATTCTGGGATATGTCTTCTGGATCACTGTATTAGTAGCTATAAAACTTGGTAGGTAACTTGGAAAACATATATAGGTGTAATTGTACTAAGATAATATAATTAAATTCATTAGTTTCTAGGCTTTTTCCATTAATTTTCTTTTAAGAATGAAATTATCTCTCTCTCACACACACACACACACACACACTAAAGAAATTTATGGTTAGTTTTTTTTTATATTGCAACATTTGAGAACCTTATTTAAAGTTTGCCTGTCTAGATTACGGTATTGTGTTCAATGGCTTAATTTGGAGATATAGCATAGTGCAGTATGATGTTTGGTTTTAGAAATAAACTAAAACTACCAGAACTTCCTTGCCTGCAGTTTTTAACTATTTCCATATCATGAGAAATAAAATAGCCAAAGGTATTATTAGACTGTTGATCAAAGTTTCTTGTACTTGCTCATCACACATGTGATGCAGCCTCAGTATCTGGTCTTTATTTAACATGTTTCAAGTAAAAAATCATTAGAGCCTTAGAAGAGATAATTTTACATCAGTTTTAGGTATTACACTATAGTGAAGGAACATAACTATTAGTGAAAAAGCTGAATGCACATAGAATTTTACTCTGAATGTTTGATATATTTATGAAATAAATTCAAAGAATTATTTTTTTTAACAACTAAAATGTCTAAGAAAGGCATTATGATATTGGTGAAGTCATCAGCATTGTCTGTCTTGTAGGTGATCGTTTAGAACCTCTTTATGCTCCAATACGCCACAAGCTAGCTAATGCTCTGAAAAACTGGCATCCAAGTGACTGCTCAGCTAAACTTATCTTAGAACCATGGAGAAAAGTGTTCAGTCTTGGAACTATGCAAGCTTTTGTTGTGACTAATATCCTTCCCAAGTTGGCTATGGTTCTACAAAACTTTATTATCAACCCTCATCAACAACATCTAGGTTAGTGTTTTACAAAGTTTTGTTTTAATTAATAATGATATTAAGTTGCTTGTAAGCTAAATATTTTGAGACTAGTTTTGTATATGAATGTAGTGTAAATTTAATGCTTCAAGTGTATGACACTTGAAAGTAGCTTCAAGGAAGCACCTGTATGACTGAACAGTTTGTACTTTCAGATATCTGGCAGTGGGTGATGGCATGGGAAGATTTACTTCCAGTAGCAAGTCTAGCAAATTTGTTACAGAAGCATTTCTTTCCCCAGTGGTTACAGGTGTTGTGTGCTTGGTTAAACCACAATCCAAACTATGATGAGGTTACAAAATGGTATACAGGCTGGAAATCTATGTTTTCTGAAGCTTTACTTAATGATCCTGTTATCAAAGGTAACCCTACTATTTTTGTTATAATTAAGCCAAATGTTTCATCTGAACATCTTTCTATTATTTCAAATTTGTCCCATTCATACCGGTTAGTATAGGTTTAAAATTTAATCTAGTTGTTTCTCTCTGGTTAACTGTACTTTTTAGTGGACTTATGGTGATATTATGTAAAATTTGTTACTATCATCATTCTATGATTCGAGTTTTGATATGTTTACTTCTCTAATTACACAGAACATAATACACAGTTTGTTTTGATGTGTAGATAACTGTAAAAAGGAAGATCATTTTTATGTATTTTGTGTTAATTGTTTTTAATTTATTTATTTACTGCTATATTTTAATAGCTATTAAGTTTTTATATTTCTAAGTGCTTACAAAATTACATGAAGTTAAAAATATTTTTATAGCCAATAAAAAAATATTGTTTTCATTTAATACCTTAAGTTGCATTTATGCTAAGCCTAAAACTAATTCTTACATCTGGCTGTTTTCAAATTTTACTAGGTAAATAAGAAACTGAAAATCCATAACTGTTGTATATGGTCTTAAAAAGAGCTGAAGAAAAGTCTTGCATTATTTTCAGTGAAGAATTTGGCTAAGAAATAAAATTTCCCTCAGAAACAAAATAATAAACTATTGGCCTTGCCAAATAGTGTTACCTACTAGAAGTAGAGGTGATTACCTCCAAGCATACACAAATCATATCTTTTGTTAATAGATCATTACCCCTTTGGAAATTTTATCTTGCTATATTCTTCTATTTTATTTTGTATATATATCAGAATATAAGGTTAGGTTGAAATTTTTTATTTTATAATAGATTAGTATTAGTTTAGTATGTTTAAAAAATCAACCTGTAAAATAAAGACAATTTTACCATGTGATGACATTGTTTTTTGTTGGTACTATTAGTCTTCTCCAGCAGAGAGATTATTGTAAGCACTAAATCCCTAACTTGCAAAGCTCTAGCACCTCTATATAGTGTAGTAAACCAAAATTAGTATCAAGTAAAGAATGTGAAGTTTGGTGGTCTGTACCCTGAAGGTATTAGTGTTTCAACAGCCCTGGTCTAAATGCTCTGTGCAAGTGGAACATTTACACAACAATACAGCCGACAAGAAAACATTCATTTATAAAGAATATCATGTGGTTATTTTTTAATTTGAGGTTTTATGATTGAGATTGTAGCCCATTTTTTATTGTAGTTTAAAGAATATAATTCAAGAGTTTTCTTGAGAAGGAATGTTTATCTGAAAGGCCCAGATTAACTTTATCTGCACTACATTTTATCAAGGAAAAATAGTGAAATCGCAGGTGTCACTTATTGAGATAAAATGAGAGAAATATTTCCATTTCTTAGCTCAGACACATAAGAAACATTTTGCCCAGTGTGTTGAATTATATACATTTATAAATTATTTTTTGATACAAAAACCTGAATTATATATATATAGGTATAACTTTTTCATTAATTTTTTTATGTTTTGGGGTTAACTATTTATTCCTGATATTATATGCCTTTTGTTAATCTAAGGGTGAAAGTAAACTTTTAATGAGCTTATGTAAAGTTTGAAATTTGGTGTATTGATTGCACCTCATATTTTCAGTGAGCTTACATAAAGTTTGTATATTTCTGTTAGTATTCCTGAACCAAAAATATGGGTTGCCCCTTTATTTAACCCAAGTTAAAGTGAGCTTTTACGTGTATTTATACAAAGTTTTTCATCTATTGGTATCCCATGATTAGAAGTTTTGTATCCAAATTACCTCATCATTCAAACTCTATTAGTAGTGCTGCTACTATAATTAAACATAGTATAAAGTGAATAGCTTTTATCTCATAGAACTTGCTTTCAATTGTGAGTGTCCTCAAGCTTAGATTTTGGAATGAAACTAGCTTCTCTTTTGAATTAATTTACTGTTTGTAAAAAATCTTTAATTTAGTTGTCAAGAGTCTTGTGGTTTAAAAACCTGTATCAAAATTGCCTTTAAATATATGAACCCAGTAGCTATTGACTCATTTCTTAATGGTCTACATAATATCACTTGAAAACACTATCAGAGATTTGGCTGCTCTGCCTGTTTCTAAAGTGAGATATCATGTTGGCTTGAATATACTGAGACATCATTCCACTCTAGAAACAGGCAGGAGCAGACTAATACAGCCAACACTACTATGATACCATGTTAGCTTGAATATACTGAGACTTTCTTCAGTATAGAACCAAAACATCATTCCACTCTAGAAACAGGCAGAAGCAGACCATTACAGCCAACACTACTATGATACCATGTTAGCTTGAATATACTGAGACTTTCTTCAGTATAGAAACCAAAACATCATTCCACTCTAGAAACAGGCATGAGCAGACTATTACAGCCATATGTGTGTGTGTGTATTCAAACCAGTCTTGTTGTAACCAAAAACTCATGCTCACTTCACTGTTTTTCTGTTCATGGCTTGCTGAATTTGATCAATTAGAGGAATTAAGTTTTTTGTTATTAATGAATAGTATAATTAATAGTATTAATGTTATACCCTAATGTTTGCACTGTCATTAGACCTAAAGCAGTTTTGTAAGCTGTCATCAAGCTTCATTCCAATCACATGTTCCATTTTAAAAATACAGTTAAAGTTTCAATACACTAACTGCAACAAAAGTAGAAAACGAATGGCTTGTATGAAAAATTAGCAAATGATAGTAAGTGGAAACATTCATTTGACATTACTAAAATATTCTGATAGTTTAAAATTCCACCAAGAAATTTTTGTTTTTTAGGTTTAATATGTATTAGTCTTTTTTTTCTCTGTAATCTAATTTATTGCAAATCAGGTCAAGTATGATGCAGATAAAAATATTTTCTTCATTTGTTGTTAGTGTGATTGCAATTATTTGTTATTCAGCAATATCCACAGTTTCATGTAGTCTAGAAAAATGTGACTTGTGGTTGAAATTCAATACTTGCTGTAGGTTAAAAGTTTAGTAATCATGACAAACACAGTTTACATATTAATCCTCCAAAAGCAAATTAATTAGGCACCATGTTGCAGAGTTACTACAAACTTAAGTTAAAAAATAACCTGAGATTTTCTTCTTTGTTTTAAGCAGAGAATTTGAGGTGAATATTTTTGTAAGTTAATATTATTATTATTATTATTATAAATTAATTTTCCAATCTATGAATAAATGATTTTTTATACTGTGTAAAACTAAAATAATCTGTACTAATTTGAAATTTTATTGGTTACCTTAAACTGTACATGAAGATTTTTATAAGCAAAAGAAGCTGTGACAATTTTAATTCAATATGATGTATCAGTGTAGTAAACAATACTTTAAGTGACAGTTTTTTTCCCAATTATTATCTTAAAAGTATTTTTCTTGTGTAGTTATATAGAAATTTGGATTCTGTAATTGAAATGAGTCTAAAAATTTAATTCTGAAACAAGTGTGCAGGATATCATTTCAGTTCCCTTCTCGTTTTTACAGACCAGTTTAAGAAAGCCCTGGACATCATGAATAGAGCCGTATCAGCTACTCAAGGAATGATGAGCTTCCAGCCTGGGGCAAGAGAAAGTGTATCATATCTTACTAATGTGGAACGTCAACAGGGCTTAGATGTATCGGGCAGTACCATAAGGAGCAAGAAAGACTATGAGGTGAGTGGTTTAAGGGTATTATGTTGATCGTAAGGATGGATGTAGAATGATAGTTGTCTATTGAAACAGTACACGTGAATAATTTTATTGTGAAGTTAGTTGTGATCTAAATGTGGTTACTTTGCTAAAGGGTTTTAGGAATTGATGTGTTATTAGAAAAATAGTAATCATATTCTGTGCCATACAATAAATAGTTCAAATATATAATTTCTTATCATCTAGAGTATATCTTCTTCCATACGAGCTTCGTCTTCTTCTGTAGCAGCCTTGGCTATGAGTTTTAAAGACCTGATAGAGAAGAAGGTAAGTTGTTGTTTAAAATTATCTCAATATGTTATTTTTTAGCATATTATCAAATTACTATTGATTTGACTTTTTTTTTTAAATGAAAAACAATCCAGCCACCAGTCATCTTCTGTATAATTTGTAATACTATTTATATATAATATTACATTAGATGTTCTTGAAAAGGTTAAACTGGCAACAACTTTAGTGATATAGAAGTTAAATTTAAAGGAATTAAACATTTTATCCAATAAACAAGTTATTTAAAGTTGATCTTGTTTGTTTTTTTTTGTTATAATCGACTTGATTTTAATTTTTTTTAAATAATAATTACATTGTATTCAAAGAAAAGCTTGTAAAATAAAATTATAATTTAATTACAAAAGAATATTTTTTTTGTAGGCTTTAGAGAAAAATATCTTGTTTAT